ACAGAATTACCTTCAGTTAATTTTCAGAGATCCCGTTCTTATGATAGTTAATTAAGATTGCTAATCATGTCAAATGACTTTGAAGTCAGTGGTAAAATCTTTAAACATGCATATAATATTGGCAGGTATGATAGTGTTGTTTCACAGGAGAATTTAGAATCTGTAAAACATTGTTTTAATTACTTCCATGAATGATGATTTTTAAAATACAACTTTAAAGTTTTGATTTTTCTATTTAAATAAAAAGTTATTGATGTGTTTTAGCATGTCCTTAAAATAGGTTTCTGTATTTTTTATAACAGCCTCAAACCCCTAATAAGGGAATAATAAAGTATCCCTGTAGTTTACCCATGCAGGTTATTTTACCTGAAAACAAAGAACTGAAGAAATCACAACTCAAATACATCATCCTTGATTATAAATGATAAACGAAGTGACTGTACTCCTTTGGCTACCTTTGATGATCTCATCAAAGGGACTTTAGTTGCCAGAAAGATCCCTTATTCTCTGAAGGCACAGGTAATGGGAAGACTTTATTCACAGAAAACTATTAGTTTAATAAAGTTTAATAATTTTAATAGCTTAGTATTTCTAGATCTTCAGTTTGGTAAGCATGGAAATATCTTGCAATATTATTTCTATTAGACCTGAACAAATGAGTTCAAACAGGAAAGCCTTTTATTTTCAAATAAGAGGAATTTGTACATTTCAATTAAGACTTGGGACTCCTAAGAAAATGAGAAATTAACTGCCCTGAGTATCACTAATATTAGATTAAATTCACTTATGTCCAAGTCAGAACCACAAATATTTACTATTCTTATTTTCTCCCAGTCCATAGTTGGAAAAGTTGAATAAGATCTTAAATAACTTACCCAATTAAGTATGAAGAATAATTGATAATCTTCCTAAGTGCATTTAAATAATTTAATATTTTAAAAATAAAGGTCCCACTTTTTTCAACATGTAAAATACTTTTACAGCTCCCAGTAAAATTGATAGTGATTTATCACAGTTTGTTCATCTTTTAACTTCTAAACTGGACCTGAAATTCTGCAACCACAAAAATGAAAAAGAATTGTCCTAGAATAAGGCAATCAATTCTTGAGATTTGGAAAGTATTCATAGTTTTAAACTATGCAGTACATTGTTTTCATTTAATTATACACTTCAAAAGGATTTGCCTAAATGCTTCTGGTTTTATTCCAGTGCTTACAGTTAGCTAAGCCCTGGATAGTCAGCCACTTTTATGTTTGCATCCAAAAACGGATAAGCCCTTTATATGAAAACTTTTTTAAAGCTTACGTTCTCTGTAAGAAAGAACTATTTCTAATCAGCAGTACCTAGGGAATAAGCCCTTTATATGAAAACTTTTTTAAAGCTTATGTTCTCTGTAAGAAAGAACTATTTCTAATCAGCAGTACCTAGGGAAGAGTGATAATGAATGCCCTTTTAAGTTTATAGGATTTTAGTTATACTATGTAATTTAAATGTAAAATTTAAAATGAAACATTTTTTTAAAGTATTTCTTTGAGATATGACAAAGTACATTAATTCCTTAAATCTAAGGGGTTTTTTTGGGGTTTCTTTGTCCCCTCTTTGGAGATGCATCTCTCACTACCAGGTAGAGTTTAACTCATTCTCTAGATTAAACTATAATCATTTTACATAAAATAAAAGCAAAATAATATTTTTTTTCCATGGAACTGTGTCCAGAAAGGCTTATATTCTCATTCTATGTTTCTGATAATGGTGTAGGCCAGTATAATAATTCTTACTTTGCACTTAAGTTTTCCAGCTTCAATTATGTGATGGTCATGTAAATTCCTAAGGAGGGAGGATTTGTCTCTTACATTCACTGCTGCATGTATGTAGGGACATATATATCCCTGTGAATTAGGAAAGTGCCCAGTACACAGTAGGCACTAAATGAATGTAAAAAATTAGTTGACACATGTACTCAGATACATGGAACATGTATTCATCATTGCAATAACCCATACAATTGAAGCCACAGTCATAATTAAAGTAAACCTACGGTGAGATCTAGTGACTATACTTTGGCAGTGTCCAAAAGCTTCTTAATGAGCACAAAGAACAAATTCTAAGATCATTGTTGGGACTATTTTTGAATAGGGGGATATGGCAGGTACTCCATTTATTGGAGCTGACTTAAAAGCAGGTAGGAAGTAAAAGGTGATTACACTTCAGTTACCCTGTGCACTTTTCTTAGCCCTCTATTTTAGTTTTTCTACCTGGCCTTAAGTTCCTTAATGATAGTTTCTCTTAAGACTAGCTATGTTAAAGGGTCAAAACTGCCTTTGTGATTCTCAGTAGGATCTAGTTCAAGGGCACCTCATTCATTGTTGGTGGCTAACTGATTTAATTATTAATTTGATAGAAATTACCCTGGGTGTAAAGTTGATGTTTATACTTCAGAGGAACTGGCTAATCACACCAGATTTAAACTAAGCCCTTTCTTGATGTTCTGTGTATTCTTTAGGTTATCTAAATGTATTACTTACAAACTTCTTTTTTTTTTTTGGTTCTGCCTGCAAACATTTTGGGTAGGTGTTAGTCTTCTTGCCTGCCCTCTAATTGAGCTGAGGACTTGTTCTGAAAGGCAGTAAACGAACAAGGTTTTGGTTTTCTGTGCTTGTAGTTCCAGATTTTCACTTGTTTGTGTTATTCTGATGGATAAAACCTCAGAAATATATAAAGTTACACCTTTTGTAAATATACCTTATTAGAAAAACTGGCATATTTTACTACATAAATTAGAATTGTCAGTGTTTTTTTCTTAAGCCCCCCCCCTCAGGCAGTTCTCTGCTGTGAGTTGTTAAACACCTATAACATCCTTACTGTGTAGTGTCTTTTCTTTCTTGATCAAAAGTTAGATACCCTTCCCTCCCCCCAAAAATACATGAATATGTGCTTTATGCATTTGGTTTTTTCTTACTAATTTAAAAGATGAAAATGAAGAAATTAATCCTTCTGTATGAACTGTGCTGGTAAAGTCATCTTTGTAGATATTTCTAATAAAAACTAGAAAATCACTACATTAGGGCTAACAGAAGAGTTTTATCAAATACTAAAGTTAACAGGTATGTGATTTGTAAAGCTAGCATTAAGTATCTCATCTTCCAGTGTAAAATTAGGTCGTATATTGAACACCGAAGGAGTGTTAGTGGGGTGCATGCTGAGCAAACAGAAAGATCTTGGAGCATTGCAGTGAACTTCAGTGTTTGGGAGTGGGGAGAAAGGTACTTAATTTTGAGCCACTGGTAAAGCACTTTAGTTTGCCTAGCATGTGCACTGTCCTGGATTCAGTCCCTAGCACCACTAAAACAAGCAACAACAAAAAATAGATGGTGCTGGTGTATGATGCCCTAAGCTTAATCGAATCTGCCTTGTTTGAGCAGCTATAGTTAGGGTTTTACAACATTCTGAATTTGTACAATATTAAAGCCTGTACAGTCTGTTACCAGCCAGGAGATACATGCCTTTAATCCCAGCACTTGGGGTCTGAGCTAGGAGGATTGCAGGTTCAAGGTCAAGGCCACTCTGGGCTATGTAGTAAACTCCTTTAAAAAGGAAAAAAAGGTTAATATGGGGAGGAATTTTTCCTAAAATTTACCAACTGTGAAATTCTGAGTTCAAATAAGACATCTGTTCTGAGAAGATGAAAGTCTGCATAAAATAAAACCATTTAAAATACCATCAAAAGATTACATACAACATATTACAGAATAGTAGTGTAAATAGTTTATTTGCTCATATGGTGTGAAAAGACCAGAAAAGTAACAGGAATTGCTTTTATAAAACATTTCTAATATTGCTAAGAAGCAGGCCCATTAATAAACAAAAGAACATGCCAGCATTATTGTCTGTTTGTACATTAATAAATAGGGAATTATTTTAACGAATGCATACCAGCATTGACCTTTGGAAAACAGCTGCTTAGTGGTAAAGATTCGGCTATTTTTCTTATCTCATGGACAAATTGCAGTTTTCATCAAAATGCATGTTAACAGAAAGACAACATCTTGGCATGTTCTTTTTAAGGTACACATGAAATGTGCCAGCAGATGTCAGCTTAAAAGTAATCTGTAAATAGGTACTAAGCGGAAACATGGCAACTGACCCCTAAACTGTCCTTATAGTTAAATATATATATTAAAAAAACTATTAAGTTAAAATAACATTCAGATTGTATAGCACAGGCTGATGCATTTTAAACAATATTTACATTATTACCCAGTGGCTTAGGTGGGAATTAAAGAGAAGTGTAAAAACCATAAAAAACTGCACCAATTTTATAGCAAAATATCTGTACATTTAAAAAGAGATCATATAACTACACATTATTCAAGGAAAGAAGAATTTCAAGCGGTTCACATGAGCACAACAAAAGAAATACAGTGGTTAAATACTATACAATAAACTTTACAATTAATATACTGATGTAATGTACCAAGATGATAAGCCAGAAGCAGAATGTGTATTATGAAAAGAACAAATTTAGCTTCAGTCCAGTTTTTGCCTTTGGAATGGGTCAAGTGCCTTACCAGAGAGGAAGTGACTTAGATACAACTATTTAGGCCTGTTATGTACCATTTAAAGTTAATATTTTTTGATGCTTTAATTACAGTTCCTCTTGTAAGTGGGGAATGCAGGAACAATTCAGTTTTGATACATAATGCGATTTATCAGTATTCTCCAATTTCCCAAAAAAAGATTGTCAGAGGAGAATAAGGCCAGATTCCTAACACTGCTAGTAGATGTAATCTGGAATGCTTGCTAGCTAGTAAACTCCCTGACTAACAAGGCACCAATTTCTATTCTCAGAATTAACCCATAATGGTCCTCAGAAATCCTAATACTGATTATTGAGATGTTAATTTTAGTGCTAATTAAATAAATATATTTGCATTATTTAAAAAGCTGCCTCTAGCTTAAGAACACAGTACTGCAAATAAGTTTTCAACATTTATGCCATAATCTTGGACTCATACCAGTAAATGTCTCTCTCAGGGCATGGCACCCTAGCACAGAAGTAGAATGTGAAACCGGAAACTAGAGTTGAGTGACCTCTTGTGCCACTGCAATTGTATCCTGTTTGCACTTCTTTGGGGCTTAGACATTGAAGGAGTTTGTCATGGGACTTTTTCCTTCCATGTTGCAAGTCCTTAAAAATACAAAGTTGATGGATATGGCTGAAACACAAAATTAATTCCTTAGGAGACATCTTAACAAAGGAAGCCCAAAGCAGATGCATCCATGTTATTTACAGCTTATCAGGAAACCAGGGTGGGCCATCATGGGACAATCACAATGGCAAGTAATGAATTTAATAGGAAATTTACATTTTGGTTAAAAAACTGAGCAACATACTGATGTAAAAAGATAAATCAAATCCTATTGCTTTGATTAATCTGAGCAGGTACTTCCATTTTTAGGCACTTGTTAACGAGGGTTGAAAGAATCATTTTTAAATTCCTATGTTGTTTGCTAAGTCTGAGCCCTTAATATTTTATCTGTGTTCAAGGCTGCAACTAAATTGTAACACGTAAAGTTCATGTAGGCAATTCCATTCACGAACACCCTCTATTCATGTAGGCAGATCGTGGGTTCACATTGTTATCTCGGCACCGTTAACAGAACGCAAGTTCTGATCATCAAAGCGCCGCCTGACACTTCTCCTCACCGCATCGGCTCGTCTGTATGGTTGGTTTCTAAGATCTGTAAAGAGAGGAGTGCCAATGAAAGACCAGCAAATTTGAGTATGTCTAAGCAAGACAAAGGCCCAGTTGGCAGCCAATCAAAGCAGCTTGTGTAGAATGGGTCCGTCAAACCCATTGAGCAAGGGCATGTACATTTGCTTTCAATATTTACAAACAAAATAAGATGTAATACTGGTAGGATTCTGGGATTCACAGAGAGAAAAATATAGGTTATTTCTGTCATTGGCCAGAGAATCTAATTTGGTTGTAAGTCTTATTTTAAAGTATTCTATTGAAAGCAACTGTGGCTTACTGTTTTCTGTTTGTTTGTTTTTTCCTGGAAGCCTGAATATCAACAATTGCAGTGAATTATAAACTGTAAAACTACTAACCGACTACTCTGTCCTATCTTTGAAGTTTTAACAAGGAAGGAACTACAAGACCTTAGTTTTATATAGAGGTTCTATTGTTTTCATCTTACTAAGCAAGCTGAAATTGTTTTTTTATTTTGTGAATTAGAAACTTATTCAACTAACAAATTAAATCAAAATAATACTGAATTCCCTCCATATTCTTTCTTGCCACCCAATATTTTTGTGCTTCATCAGCTGGGAGAGAATGGGCCCCTCTCATTTTCCAGTTTGTGTTGCTAGTACAAAGCGGATTGCTTAACATTAAAAAAATAATAATAAAAAGCTTTGAATGAATGAATAAAATTACTGCATACTGGCTCAAGAAGGTATTGCTCTAAGTGTATAAACGGGGATGAGCAGAGGAATTTCATGTAAGTACTATTAGTATGAATACATGATTCCAAGAATATAAGGTAGGTAGTCTAGCAATTCTTTTGATGGAATCAGGTCACAGTAAAGAAACTAAAGCAGCTTAATTTTTTCCCCTTGTTTTAATTAGTACCTATTTTCTTTTTGTTAGTATTGATGATTTCTGTGAGGAAACATTCCACCTTTAGAAAACAATACAAAAAGAAACTAAACAATCTTTTTTCATCCCTTCGCCTACTGAGTCAATTGAAAATGAAGTTAGTGAGCCCTAGTTGGCCTACACAATGTTTGCCCTAATGCATACCCTCCCATACTTGTAAAGATAGTTATCAGATCTTTAAGTTGCTAACTAATATTAAAAACCAGGGCTTCTAGTTCTTTTGAAAATTTAAAGATCAGGCAATAATGGCAAAAACAAGCAGAAACTGAGTGAGACTGAGATCTAACCTCTCAGGTTCCACAGAGTCCCCACAAGGGAATCATTGGGCTATCCTTTCTAGATTCAAACAAAGAACAGTCATGTATGAAGACCAGAATTCCACTTTTAAGTAAGGATATCTAGTTGTGTGGGTTTTGAGTCTTGGGAAAAACTAGTTCTAAAAATCCCAATCTTTCAAAGCTGTAGATCATGTTCCCTAGCCAGGACCTGCTCTCTACCTTCACATAAATGACGTAACTGAACTCAAAGGCCAGGAAGGGTAAAGGCTGGTTAGCCTACTACACAAAGCAAGTACAATCATCAGCAAATACCCTTGCCCAAGCCAGCATACTTGAACATTGAAGCAGGCTGAGAAGTAAGACCAACAGAGAGGCTTACCCTCACATCATTGCAATGTGAGTTTCAAAGACTTCTCCCTGGGCAGATTCTCACCAGTATTACCCTTAGCCATAAATCAAAACCATTGATCTGTATACAGAGAGAGGAGGAAGCTAAGTAAAAAGTGATGCTTGCCAGCTCTGTGTATCCTCCACCACCGGTGTGCTAGAAGAAATCCTTACCCTCGTGTGAACATTTGGAAATTTAGTGATATTATTCTTCTTTAAGGCTAAACAGAAAAAAAAACAAAAACACAAAATGATGGTTAAGTAAAAATGGGATGAAAATGGAAAGCAACTCAACTTAGTGCTTAACATTCCCAGGCATGTTAGCCAACAGACAAGGAGAGTGGGAGGCCATTACTACAAGTAGTGTTAAATAAAACAAGGGTAGGATGAGTGTGTCTTCCCACTCAGCTCTCTGACCACCCAGTTTCAAGCTGCTTTGAAGATTGGCTCCAGAAAGATAGTCCAACAGCAAAACTGACAGCAAAGAACCTGGGAAGATGACAGTTTCCAGCCTGTTAATAAGCACTGGTGGGTAAGTACACTGCAGAGCAGGCAATGATACTGTATCTTTTGATATCTTCAAAAACAGAACACATAACATTCAGCCACAAAATAAACACCCCATTCCATGTCAGTCTCAGCATGGGTGTCAATCAATGGCTATTTCCAATTAGAGTATGTTCTTCCCTTGTCTCTTTTCTAATCAACTAAGCATAGAAGTTTATTCCTTTTTTAAGCATCAAAAACTAAATCCAGTAAGTTATATTCTTGGACAAATTTAATCATTTTTTAAAATTCTAAGTAGTAAATATCGGCCTATTCACATTTCTGGTGCCACTATCCTGACTAAAAGAAGCAGATCCAGGTATGACCTCAACACAGGAGAAATGCTATAGCTTGACATGGAACAGAGCTACCAGTGAAGAGGCATGAATAAGATGGTGGGGAGCTCTTACACCTTTGTTTTTCACTTCCTGCTTTATAGCTTTGCTCCAACATGAATTGGTTAAGAGCTGAAGGTGGGCATGACAGTGAATAGAAATGACCTACCATGTTTGGGTATCATCAGGCCACGAATTGCCAATAGGAGCATGTCGGCTTCTAGGTCAAAAGGGAAGCCATAGAATGACCTAACTCATACTGTGCGTCTCGTTACACTTTGGACTATATAAGACAGTTTAGAAAAGGCCCAGTTTGCAGTTGCATGTAGTGCAGTTTCTTCTGCAAACATAGCTTTAGTGCCCTTTTTATTTCTGAGCACTTTTGTATAAATGGGTAATTTTACTACCAAAGAATGTTAACTGGAGTATAAAAAGGGTTGGTTTAAGGTGTATAAACCAACAACAGTAAGTGCTTAATATTTTAGTAGTTATTCTGCACTCAAAGATAATAGCTCAAAAATCTTACAAGCAATCTACTTGGTTCCAATCCTAATTTTCAAAGAAGTACTCCACTATTTTTCTGAAAAATTCTGGAAACAATTCTATTAACTGTCACACAGAGACCATCACAGCAATATGAATACATTATGTACTGAAAGTGGCAGTGAGTGGGCAGTAATGACTGAAATGCAAAACCATGCAGCATGAAGACAACATAAAATACAGCACAATGAAGATGGTGGTTCCATGCTATAGCACATTAGTTGACCCTAAGAGACACACAGACATAAGAGGTAAAAAAAAAAAAAAAAAAAACCAAAAAACAAAAAACCTGTAGCAACCTTTTAATAGCATCAGGTGAGAAAGAGTAATAATTTAGTAATGGTATTCTTCAGTGAGAACAGGTTCGCAGAAAAACCGAGAGCCACGCTTGGCGGTGCGAGCAGTAAAGGGCACAGTCTTCAGCACTGCGTTGAAAATGACAGCCAGACAACACAAACAGAAGAGAGTAAAAAGCACAATCGATTGCATTAGTACCTGGTTAGTACTTTGTTAACCATACCTGGGGACTGGGGATTGGGGATGGGAGTTGGGGGACAGGAAGGGAGAAAGGCAATGTACACTTCAGTTAGTTCACATAGCTATAAGACTTCATTTGGGGCTTGGAAGTGGAACAGAAAACTGTAAGTAGATAGACATTAACATCCTCTGTTATATTAATGATTTAGTTCAGCAAACCTTTTTTTTTTTTTTTGAGGTACTGGGGTTTTGAACTCGCATCACATGTTTGCTAGGCAGGCACTCTACCACTTCAGCTACTCCACCAGCCCTAAGGCAAGCATCTTTGATTTTACAATATTTACAAGACATACGTCATTTTACAAGTCAGGTGTCTTGGGGATGGAGGGCATACAGATGAAAAAGTTCTTTATACACAAGGTGGACTGTTTCCCTACCTGTAAGTTGATCTTACTGTTTCACTGGAACTGGCTTTGAGTGGAGACAAAGAGAAAGGCTAGACAATGCGGGCTTGACTGGGGAGGCCTCTGCAAGCCACTGCATGCTGTACACTGAGATCCAGTAACCACAAGGGTACATCAAAAGTAAAGAGCACCATTCTCACCAGCGGCTTACTTATCTACTCATTTACACTACTGTAATTCATGACTTCCTTTTTTACCCATCTAATCTAATCTAATCATTTTCCCGAGTCTGAGTTGGTGAAAAAAAATTTACCTTTTTTTTGTGGCAATTTAGAATCCTTATTAACAATGCTGACTAGATTATATCAAGAAATAGAAGTCTAGTAATTATATTTTTAAAAAAGGATAATTGGGGAAATGTTAATCAAATAACTAGACATTTGATACTAAGGGACTGTTCAGTTTTTGGTGTGTAATATTGTTACTGTAGTATTAATGGTAATAATGGTACTGGGTAATAATGGCATACTTTTGCTTTGTTTTTTAAGAGCTCTTATCTTTTAAAGATACAAACCTAAATATTTCCAAGTGAAATTATACTCTTGGATGTGCTTCAAAAAAATCCCAAGGATTGGGGGTTAGGAAGAGGTGGGTAGAGGATACATGGACCAAGACTAGCCTATGACTGGTGGTATGGCTTAGGTGTTAGAGCACTTGCCTCACAAACACAAGGTCCTGAGTTCAAACACCCCAGTATTGCCTAAAATAAGTGAATCAAGAAAAAATAAAGAACACAACGATTCGGAAGAATCTCAACTGGAGGTATGGCTCAGTGGTAGACTGCCTGCTTTACAAGTGCAAAATCCTGAGCTCAAACCCCATTCCTCCCCCCCGCCCAAAAAAAATGGGTGAGTGGCATGTGGACGCACATCCTACACTATCCACACTTGTTTGAGCCTTATCATAATACAATGCTTTAAATGGGCTGGGACATGGCTCAGTAGTAGAGTGCTTACCTAGCATTTTCAAGGCTCTGGGTTCAATCCCCAGCAAAAAAACACACACACACATACACACACACACACACACACACACAGCTTTAAGTGTCTTAGAAGCTGATTAACAGCATTCACCTAAAAGAGACATGAAATAAAAAGTCACTTGCTGCCATTGCTAATACACAGGGGCCCAAGTTAACATCCTGATTGATAAGAGGGAGTACAGAAACCCGGGAGAATTGGTTCAAGCAGAAAACATTAAGCTAGAATTTCATGAGACAAGAACCAAACTGGGTTACACATGATTCCTAGATGATAAAACAATCAGTTCCCAATCCTGAGCTAGACGCCTATGGGTTCATCCAAATTAAAAGTACTAGACCATGATTTCCTGTTGAATTTAGTTACTCTGAGTGCACAAAGTAGCTTTTAAAGAGCATGCTAGAAAAGTTCACATGGACTGTGGATGGTACAGAGCTGAATGGGTCCTATCCACAATATTTATTATTCAGGCAGATGAGCAGGAGTGACCACAAGGAAGAAAATGGAGCATGATGGTAAATAAAAACCAGTGGAAAACCATTAAGAGAAGGATCTCCTTGTTGAAACTACAGGGTTTCACTGATACTGAGAAAGATTTTTTTTCAGAGTGTTGAAGATTATATGCTACTGTGCAGGACTACCACTCCACCTCCAATAAAGATGTCCACTCTAATTGTTTCTGGGAGTCTACACGAACTGTCTCACAAGCTCACGAATGATCTGCTCAACTACTGTGAGCCTTCTCCATGTCCCCTGTTATAAATATACTTTAAACTCTAGTATGGAGTCTTTGCATAACTCTGAATCTAAAGTAAAGTCATCTGAAGAACTTGCCAACCATGGTCAAAAGAAGCTGCAAAGTCAGCAAGTGGCCTAGGTCTAGGAGAGGCCAGTGGGAGCTCCACAGGCCAGAGAGAGGAAATACCCTTTACCTGTGATAATATCTTCAATGGCACCATCTTTTCCCTCATATACATGTCTGTTATCTTTAACTTGTCGCCTTCTTAACTCTGCAATTAACTCTTGCTGCTGTCTCTTTGATTTATGGGAAGGAGACTGGGAAGAAAGAAGGGCAGAGATTAGTGGGACCAGCACCCATTGGGAGTCTAAGGATAATTCAAAATGGGCCTGAGCTTTATATTATTTTAATAAGCAGTCTTAGCCAAAAACATACATAGCACCATCCCAAAAATTTGCTGAAAACCAGAAAAAACTCAGAAAGTTTCCTTCCAGGCAACAGAAACTTTCCTCCAAGAACACACAGAACCTCACCAGGCAGCAACAGGAAGGCTGGGTCACAGCCACAGACTTCTCAAACGATGGATCAAGGGCCTGCCAGTCTTCATGATTTTATCCTGTGATGCTGCCCTTTATGAAAAGCTACCTCCCAACCCCCCACCCCACCCCAGTCAAGTGTGCCATAAGTCAAGGCTGGCACACAGCCCCATCACCACAGAGACATCTTTGGACACAAGCCCTCTGGTCAGTCATCAGGTCACCTGGTGTGGCCTAGCCAATACGTTCAACTGAGATTTAAATTCCAGATCTCTATAAACTTGGAAATGCTATGCAAACATGCTCTTAGCCTCATTCCAATGGCTGCTGATCTAAGTAATGAATGAACAAGTTTCCATGTGTCAAGCCCTAGAAGGTGGTCAAGGCCATGTGTCCCTCTCTACTCTCATCTCACATGTGCCCTTCTTACCTTTGAGTCCTGCTGCTCCATCAGAGCTTCTTGCTCCAGTAGTTTTTCCATGAGAGCTTGTTCCTGCTTTTTCCTCAGTTCATTTTCCTCTTCTGCTTGCTGAGAAAAAAGCATCACATAAGTGAAATGACAGCAGTCAAGATTTTTTAAAGCCATTCTTTAAGAATCTTTGATGAGTTGAAAATTAGTATGAACGGAAGGGGAAGAAAGTCTGCATTTCTTGCCTCCATTCTACTCTGAGTCTTTGTTTCATTGTCCAGCTATCATATGCCTTTGAAAGCTGGTAGCTGAGATTCACCTCATCCAGAAGGCCTTTCCTGATGATCCTCTCCCTGTTTGAAAGGCTTCCGAGTTCTAGTCCCTCATATTTGGTGGGGACTTCCTCCTTTTGGCCACCGTGCTCAGTGATTTCCATGTGAGTTTATTTTGCTTCCAGAATCTGCTAACTATAGCTTCTCTAAAAGCAGGATCAATGATTCCTCTGCCTTTTGCCCAATTTGGGGAGGAAAACTTCATTCCCTTGGGATCTTGTTTCCTCTAGGGGCCTCAACAGTGATGCTCTTGGACTCTCCCTACAGCTCACTCCTTGCCATGGGAGGCAGAGTGACTGGTCTGATAACTGGAGAGAAGAAACTGACCGGGCTCAGCCTTCTCAGGCACTCAAGTTCTTTTTTGGAAGTCACCCCACTGAAGAGACTTCTCACTGTTGTGCTGTGAACTGAAGGAAAAGTCATCTAAAGTCCAATTTAGGGCTGAAGTATATTTCACAGATCCCATGTCCTTCAGCACAATTTATATCAGTAATAAAGTTTGTATTTTGATCTGTCGCCTTTGTTATAAGTTTCATTGTGGTTCAAAATTAAGAAGGGAAAACAGAAATGAATTCCTAAACCCCCAACTGCTGCCAATCAAGGGCCATGATCAGTGTCAAGTTTGGAGGTTGTTCAGCACACATAGGGCAAGGAACACATCCTATCACATCACTGCCTGACAAGCACCTCAATGAGGCAGCTAAGACAACCATGGGGAGAAATGGTAAGGCAGAGTAGCTCGCTCATATACATACTGTGACAGGACACCCCACAGATCTCCAAGGGCAGCTTCTCTTTCCTCTGCTCCAAGCACACCCCACTGAAGCCTCTGGCATTGTGACCAACTCCAGCACTTCCTAGATTGTCTTATACAATTTTAAAATAGCATGTGTTTTCTGTTTTGACTTTAGACTTGCATGTTTTGATGTGAAGAAATGTGAATGTGGCACATAACAGGAGCATCCTCAGGGCGTCTCTGCACTTCATTCGTGCTGGCTGCCAGGGACTGCAGAGCACCAGCCAGCAGCAGCTGGTGGCCAGTGACCTCTCCTTCACAGTTCCTTGCGTCTTGTGCACAGAGTTTGTGTTGTATGTGTGTTCATCTGCATAGCCAAGGATACTTTCCTACTGCTAAAAGCTTGTGATATCATTGCTACACTGGCCATGCTGGGAGGATATGACTGAATATTCTGACCTTTAAAAGGCCCAAAGATGATTCTCTAAGTTATTAACCTCTACTCCTATTAATTCCATTGTGATTTTTTTTTCTCTAAAGTATACATAACCCCGACACATCCTTCCTTCCTTTATAATAAATACTTCTTCCTCCACCAACATTACCTATAATTGTGCTTAGAGAAGCCCAAAGAATACAATTGGCCTTCTGTATATGTGGGTTCCAGGTCCATGGGTTCAACCAAACATGGATTGAAAATATTAGAAAAATTGCATCTGTACAGGACATTAAATGTCATTATTCCTTAAATTATACAGTATTACAGCTACTTACACAGCACTTACATAGTATTAGGTATTACAAGTAATATAGAGACAGTATACAGGAAGTATACAGGAAGGTATGTACAGGTGCTACATAAACACTGTGTCATTCCATACAGATTCTGGTATCCTTGGGGGTCCTGGAACCAAAACTCCACAAAAAACTGAGGGTCAACTATATAGATTGCAATATTTCCTTAATACACTAAAATGTTAAACACTTTCCTTAGTCTTTTTCAAAGGACAAGCTCTTCAGATACAAAACTCTTTGGGTTGCAATCTTTTTCAGAACAATGGCCCTGCATTATGTCCAGGAGGGCTTCTTGTTTAAAGGAAGGGGTGTTACTGGTTCAGATAAATAAACAAAGAATGACCATCCTGAATAGTACCATCCTTCAATCCACACCAACAGATGCTGGTCTTAAGTCTCACAGCTGGGCAAGGTAGAACCCAGAAGGCTCTCCCTGATATCAGCTATAGCATGTACTTTCACCACAGATCTGCTTATTTTATCCATTCAGCAACTCCACGGAAGGCCTGGACTTTCTAAGTCCGTTTTCTTGCCTGCATGGTCATCAGTCAGAGATAGGACAACAATGGTCTTGGAGCATCTCACTTGCACCAAGAGGACAACCAAGAGCTTTTTGTTTTCTGCCTGAGGCTCAAGCTTGACTCCATGGAGAAAAAGAACATCATGGCCTGAGGACCACAGGAGTCTCATCCTCTGCAGGACCAGAGACTCAGTTGTCCATCACTGACCACCCAAATCTGCCACCCACAGGAAGAGCCCAGGAGACCTCAGAAGAGCAGCTGGAATATGGACACATCTGAAAGAGGGCACCTCCCTAATAATTAATGACAAGAAGAGTCATTACCTTATATGCTTTCACAAACCGGACAAACACAGGAAAGAAGACAGAAGGTGGTGTTGTCTTGGGGTTTTCTCCAAAATACTTCACCACATCATCAAAGGCATCCTGTGAAGAAGCAAATTTCTCCTGAATCACATCATTTCCAGCATTTGGACTGGATGCTCTGGTGGGAACTGGAGCAAAGAAGTGTGAGAGACAGAGGCTTCTCACCCCAAACCCCTCTCACCCTCCCATGATTCTCTACAGTCTCCACATCTCTGATACCTTGCCAAAGGCATCCAGAAGTGTGCACAGGAACTCATTTCCAGGACCTTCTGGCATTCTACATCCCATTCCCCCCACACACATACACCCAAAATGAGGAGCTATTTCTTCCAAGAATTTCCTAAGGCCATGGCAAAACCCCTTAAAGCAGAATGTCAAAGGGATCTTAGAAGTCTCTCTGACTCTGAGTCCCTTTCTTCATGCTTCTGCTTGGCAGAACACAGGCCTGATACATATTGCTGAATTGAGCATAAACCTGTGCTAAAAGGAGTCTAGGAGAGAAGGGAAGAGGGAATGGGAAGAAAGGGCACAAATTAGCAAAGAACGATGAGCAAGGCAAGAGCATGTCCAAGGCAACACTGGTAAAAATGCCCTGTAACGATTACCTACATAAGAAATCTACCCTCTGAAGTCAGAGAAATGGAGTTCTCGCCTGCCCAAGGCCCGTTCCATGGTGGACTTAAGGGACCCATTCCCTTCCATTACCTGTGCGATCTTGGCATCATCCTGAAGCTTCTTCAGCTTCCCCTCATTGTGGATGAGGAACTCCTTCAGCAGCGTGTTGTGGTCATGCATCGTGTACTCCCTCTTGGTCAAGTCCATGCCCCTCTGTAGCTCCTTGACATCCAGTAGAACATTCTCAAGAGAGACTGTCATAGAGAAAATAATGCATGCAGAGTTAAAATCACATTGAGTCCAACTGCTAAGTTCTCAGTACTTTCTTAGGCTCACTCCGGGTTCTTAGACCTAGTTCCCAGTTTAAGTGCAGAGAGCCTTTAAAGTGAGTAACTTTGAAGTACTCATGATCAAGCACTACAAAAAGTTCTGTATATGCAGCAATTCCAATGCACCATTAGCCCATTGTGCCATAGAGGAAAAGTAGAATAAAGAGGTTCTGTGCCACACAGCTAGTAGGTGGCAGGTCATGAGTTCAAATAACAATTATGGGCTCCAAATTCTATGCTGAACACAACATTCTCTCCAAGCAAACAACCTATTGGTTTGGGTGTAGGCTCAGAGGTCCTTTCTTGTGATGGGTTCAAGATCTCTTGTTTTCTACCTCTTGACTCATCTGCCTTCCGTGGCTGTCCAGCAGAGGGCAGCATTTTATCTGTTGAACTGAAGTTGTACTACTTCCACAGCTTCTTTGTTGAACAGCCCTTCCTTGTTTCAAAAGGTTTGCATGAACTTTTCCACCTGTAGTACAGACAGCTACCACCCAGAATAGACACATTCCTAGCGCTTCCTGAGCCAGCTTCCCTGGAGAGGTTGGTGTCATCTCTGCACATGAATTACAAAGCAATGCAGTATGTTTTCCCCCTCACTAGACTCATACTGATTTTGTTGTTGTTTTTGGTTATACTGGGGGTTGAACTCAGGACCTTACACTTACTGTACTACTTGAGTCACATCCTCAGTCCTTTTTGCTTTGGCTATTTTTGAGATTTCACTGTGCTTCATGCCGGGGCTGGTCTGGATCACAGTCTTCCTATTTATGTTCCCCCACATAGCTGAGGTGACAGGTGCATGCCACCACACCCAAGCTGAGATGGAGTCTCATGAAATTTTTGCACAGGCTGGCTTCTTGCGATCCTTGTGATCTCTGCTACTTAATAGCTAGAATTATAAGTGTAAGCCTCTGTGCTGGGCCTTGCTTTATTCATTTTTGATTCCCCAATCCTTTGGACAGGGCCAAGTACACAAAAGACACTCAAAAGTGTTTGCTTAATAGATGAAGGAGTGAAGGCATACAAAAAGAACCTGGGTAGGTTCACCTGGGCACCAGCAAGCAAACACAGAACAATTCAGTCAGTGAGCACCCTAGTCTCTGCATTTTTCCCACTGAATTTTTCCGAATGACACTTTACAGGACAAACTACGCTACTAATCACTAAAGCAGGAATTTTCTATTTAACTTTCCCCTCTGATTTGTAATGTTTAAGAATCTTAATTTACGCAAGGGAAAACTTGAAAGAAGGAAAACCACTCCACCAGAATAGAAATTCTGCTAACTTCCTAGGTGAACCTGAGCCCTCAATGGATCTGGCCCAATCTGTTCTTCATTGTCACGAAGTCATTTCCACCTGACTCTCCCAGTCTTCACTGGGGCTTCCACAGCATCTATCCCAGCAACAGTGCATCATTTCACTCCTTCATTTGCTCTTTCATTTATTCCCACATCCAATTTGCCAGAAAATGAGTGAGTTATAAAGTAAAAAACTGACCACAGCCTTAAGAAATGTACAGGTTTCGATAGACATGTAAATTGTTTATCAAATAAAATATGATAAATCTTGCATGAGAAGGTAATACAGACTACTATTTGGTAAGAATGCCGAAGCAATAGCAATGTAGTCTGGCTAAGAAAGTCATAAAAGGCCTTACCCTAAAAGATTCAGTAACTCTAGGGTAGACCTCAAGAATCTAAACTGTTAATAAAACTGGTCAAGACTACATTTGAAAGTCAAGACCTGTAACTAACTCCAAGAAGAATTTGCATATTATTCCTTTTTCAACTGTAGTATTTTCTTAAGAAGACATGGTACATAGGATAATATACCACATGAAAAGTAAGACTGGGGTTGCAGCCCTGTTTCTATCACATGACTTTGGGCAGGACAATTAACCTCTACAAATGACAATTTCTTTACCTACCACATGGAGTCACCACTACTTGTACATCCCAACTATCTTAAAATCATTGGCACTTTGAATGAGAAAATGTTAACTGCCACTGCAAAGTAGCAACCAAGAAATACTAGTAATTTAACTAGTGTTTAGGCAAGGGCAAAGTGAGCAAGTGGAATGGCATGGCATGAAATGAAATTAAAAGATTTTCTGGGAGGTAACTCTCAGATTCTTATTCTCCTATTTCATAATAGCAACAAAGCAAAAAGCTTAAGAGATTGACAAGCGAAAGCACATAAGCATCAAACACCTGGATCTTACAGATAGGACACTGAGAGCTACGACATTCATGACTGCATTCACCACTGTTCTTAGGAGTGGGTGGCACCATCCCAATGTGTTCCAGCTAAGAATTTCTGATTTATTGGTCCTGTCTTTTTAAATAGGTTCTGAAGCGTGTTAAAGCAGGGAGTGCCCCCACCCCTGCAAAAAAAAAAAAAAAGGCATTAAATATGCAAGAATAACATTACTAGCTACAAATTAAGTACCTGCAGCAGCTTTTTCCACATAATGAAGCTCGTTATAAAACAGAGACACTTGGTGATATTTTTCTTTTACAACATTTGATATATAGTGCAACAGCGTTTGCTTTCGGTCTGTTGACTTTGTATCCAAGAGCTGAAAACAAAAGGAGGGCATGAGTTAGGTACAGTAGCAAGCATGAAGGGAAAACTGCCCACCAGGCTATGTCCCACATAGAATAAACAACTTAGTGCAGTTGCCCAACAATGTCCTCTTCTGTGAGCCCAGCCCACAGATGTGATTAAATGACTTGAGGACTTTCTGACATGGTATATGCTAAAGGTCAGAATTAACTCTAAGCACCTAGGAATCATTCAGATCCTTATCCTACTCATAAGAACTTTCCTATTCCTGCATCTGCTGTCCCACCTCACTTGGCTTACAAAGCAAGACGACTCCCATGTAAGAGCTCTTCAACACGAAGGACCAGAGCAGAAGTGGAAATGGAAGTGAAGTCAGCAGGTATGTGTGAGTGCTCCCGGCACCACAGGGCTACCCCTCTTACTCCCTAGCTTCTGATGATCCAAAACAAATAGATCCAGCCCTCTGTATCTGCTTGTTCTGCATGGGTGGACTCCACCAAGCACCAACAGAAAATACTGTGGGAAAACTGTCTGTACTGAACATGCACTGACTTTTTCTCATTATTCCCTAAACAATACCATGTAACAGCTATTTGCAAATCATTTACAGTGTATTAGGTATTACAAGTAAAGAAGAGGTGATTTAAAGTATAAAGGATATGTGTGTAGGTTACATACAAATACTACCCCATTTTGTAGAAGGGATTGAGCAACTGAGAATTTTGTTAACCTCAGAGGTCCTGGAACAAATCTGCCACAGATACCAAGGGACAACTCTGTCTTGAACTGACCATGATCTTCTGGAGGCCAGAACTGTGACTGAGAGGACACTCACTATTAAATACCCACGTCTCCCCCAGTCTGTGGATTCGGTCCATTGCCCTCCCTTCCATAGGGAAGACATATTAGGCCTGCACAGCCTGGACAAGATTTTGTGGAGGATTTTCCCTAGTCCTATTCACAAAAGTCAGATGACTTTAAGAGGATAGCATTTTTGTCTATGTAGAAAAAAAGAAATTAGACTATATCTGCAACTTATACTCTGCTTTCTAAACACAAAATTATCCATTTGTCTGGAAATTCTTCCAAAGTATTTAAACAGCTAAAGAACAGTTCACTGTATTAACTATTATTCTAGCATATTTAATCATTTCCCACAATACTGGACCTTGAGATCATTAGTAATATTTGCAATTATAAATAAAGTATAGCATTTATAAATCAGTCTTGAGAAAAGATTCCTAGAAATGGAAATACTAGGCAAAAGGGCATAACTATTTCTAAGGTTTTAAGTCCTTCCTGTCAAATGGTATTCCAGAAATTTATACCAACTGCTCCTCCCACTAGCAGAGAATCTTCATCAACTCCCCTTCCAATCCTCCCCCCACCCAGAACGGACTCCCCATTCCAGGACTTAATCTCTGCCAGCTGTTTATCCTTCAAAGCTTTTTTAGTTCACGCACCAGATCTAAACTCTGAAGTTTAAATCCATAAACGGCTCCTCGTTTGCTACTATTCATATAGTTTCCAAGGGCCAAGATGATCTGCAAGAGAGAAAAGAGAGCCATCAGGCTTTGGAAGGCAGCTGACGAGTCAGTATGTACGTACACAAGGAAAACTTCACTTGCCTCCAAAATTTTCTTGAGCTTCTGAGATGACTTTATAGAGACAGATGCTGCTATAATTGCATGCAGTTGCTAGATTCCAATCAAAGGAAGGAAGTGGAGAGAAAAAAAAAAGAGGTATTTAAAAATGAGAAACTAATTGGCAACTAAAAACTAACATAGAAGAAAACAGGCCTACATTTAGACCTTGAAGTCTCAATGCTGAGATTCGATTTATGCCCAAACATAACAAATGTAGCTGTCAGGTTAGGTCTTAGATGACCATATCATTACATGCAAGCTCTTCTCTAAAACTATTCACAGTAACAAGTTAACATAGGAACTTATTACAAAGTCTGTAACCCATCTATAATCAATATGACTCAGAGTTATGAGTCAACAGTCTCTTCTAGCAGAACTGAATTCCCTGCCCATTACTCCTAATCATATATACTTCATACTTTCAAATCCGTGGAGCTATCCAAGAATGGGGAGACATGGATATAACACTCTCCAGAAATTCTCAAAACATGTTTTGAACAGACATGCTACTATAAGCAGTAAATAAAAAATTCTTTTTAGAAACAGAACTGGGAACAAACTGAAGCTTATGACATTCATAAGTCTCCACCAGATTAACACAGGGAGTGAAAGATAGTTGGCTATGATTTATACATTACCACAGCCTACTGTAACAAAGTTCCAAAGAAGAAAAATCCTATGATGGAATTAATTAATGCCTCTAACAAAACCTTATAAGTTTACTCAGTAAAGATATGGGATTGTTTTTAAAAGTGAAAGTCACACTTTCAGTCTTCCTAGCCCAGCCAGAGAACTACTCCCTTCAGGGGACAACCAAGTTTTAGAAAATGGTTTTCGTTGGCCCCTGTATTGAAGTGTCTTTTGAAATCTAGAGGATTTCACACAGAAAATAGACTTCTCCTTGGAGAACAGCAATATGGAATAGAAAAATTCACCATTTTTTACTTTGCATACACCATGTGAAAATTATAGCTGAAACTGTAATCTGGACTGTTACTGGAAGGAGTCCTTAGAGCCCATTACGCTGAGCACAATTCCAGGAGAGACTTAAAAATAAATGATTCTTTTCTATTTGGACCACTCCCCTGCCAGAGCCAGTCAGAGCTGGTCACTCACAGGAGTCAGCATCTGAATGCTTTCTGCAAAGTTTCCAATGAAGGCCATGATGGTCATCTTCTGCATGAGCCTCTCAATCTTACTGAACTGCATCATGAAGCGATCTTCGTCCGACAAGTTCTCCAAGGGCTTCCTTTCCCGCTCGTAGAGCCGAAGCACTTTCACCTCGTTCTCAGTTGGCAAGAACCTCATCAAACATTCTACGAAGTCTACAGGCAGTGTCTTCAGGTCAAATCTGAAGTCAATGTGGACAGTTCAGTGTTGGAGAGAAAACCTACCCCTTTCCAACACACCTCCATTGAGTTCAGCTCATCTACAACTAAGTCAACGGGGCTGGTTCTGACCACTGCACTGTGAAGCTCAGCCCTGGTGCTTGTTCTTACTGAGCAGCAGGTACCCTGACTGGCAATTCCCGAAAACCTGGACCTTGTTACAGCTACCGTAATCAGATTTTAGAGTTAGACGCTTAGAGCACTGAGGTAACTCTAGTTCTAAGAAATCAAAAGTAAATGAAAATGGAAGGCAAAATGAAGGCTGGAGTATGGTTAAGTGGTTCTAGGACATGGTTTTAGGCATTATGAGGTACTGCAAGTTAAAGTGGTTAATGCTGTATAAATAAGTATAGACTATCTGGTGAATTCTGTAAAATATTTTAGTTAAATCAACAGTCTACAAGCATATTTTCGTTTTTGGAAAAGGCCATCAAAATGCCTATACTGGGCTCATGGCATGGATGAAGTGATACAGCACCTGCCTAGCAAGCAAGAGGCCCTGACTTCAATATCCAATACCACACACACACACACACACACACACACACACAGAGTTTCTACATAGATGTTTTGGTGTAAATACATATATTCCTTGAAGGAATATCAGGTCTTTGGGGATGCTTGCTCAACTTGAACAAATAAAGTACTCGTTACAACTTCTATTTTGCTCTCTGAACAATGCTCAGCAAAATAATAATAGCATTAGACTTTATTTTATCAAGATTAAAAAACCAGACTGCATCCCAGGTTTCAGTACCAGAACTCAGAGCAGACTATGGAGGCACTATTGTATTTACACTAAGACCTTGGCTGAAAATACAAAATCAGAGCATGCTATCGCTTAGGATCACGTGCTCTACCACAGGACTAGAGTCTCTAGTCAAAATTTATAAAATACCACATCATGAAAAACTTCTTAAACCAATAATATCCTATCATCATTGCCCCAAAGAGTAGAATGATTCTTCTAAATAGGAAAATAAAACAAAATCAATGCCTTCTGAGTAGTTCAAAATTTAAAAAAAAAAAACCATTGTTTAAAATGTTCTGAAAGCACTAAGAGCAACAGAATTCACATTCCTATCATTATGAATTAAAATATGCATCTGTGTCATATTTGCATCTGGCACTAAACTCTATCATTCCACAAATGCTATTGAATTTGTGTTCAACAAATCTGGATACAATCCAAACACTCCAGTAAAAACTGCCATTTTTCCCTTTTCTTAACCTCTACAATGCTCAGCTCAGCTTTCCTTTTATGTAAGCATTACTTCAGGACTATATAAGAGAGCAGACCAAGACAATAAATGCTGTCACAATCCAGATGTTATTCTTCTAAAGTGATTAATGACTCATGAGAATATAGCACCGTCCTGAGTATCTTCTGATCTGCCTCTTCAGTGCTAGCATCTTATTCAACTCTGAAGCAGCACATAGGTGACAAGGGGCATCTCTGAAGTACAGATGTCAAGAATTGTTCCATTTTGATCTCAGATCTTGCCCTAGTCCTATATTCTGCTCACTTAAAACTTTCTTATTTTCATTCTCTTGTCACTCTAAACTTACTAGGGTGTAACTTTCAAGGATTGTCCTGAACTTACACATGAATAGCTTTGCAGATCTCATCAGCAGTCTTTCCAGCTTTCCTTAAAGTTATGGCAAGATTTTTGGCCCTATTTGCTTCTAGTAATGTCACTTTATTTGATCCCTTCTGTGTTATCTTCTGCTTGCTTGAAGAAAGATCAATGGCAGGACCTTGGGCTTTTGTCTTGAATATTTCCTCAAATTCATCCACATTTAAGTCCTGGGGGAGAGAGGGATGACATTGGCAAACTGGATTATGCTTGAAAATTAAGTCATGGTGCTACCATTTAGACCATTTTTTAAGCAATGACAGTCATGTTTTTTACTAAGTACTTGTTTGGTCATACCTTGCTCTATTTTTCTTGATTTTGTTGGCATGCCAAGTTCTATCACACAAACAGAATGTTCAAAGTACACTACTGATTACAACTAGCCAATTCACCTGCTTTTGATAACTAGCTTTCATGGACAGCTGCCACAGACTAAGTCCACCAAGCAAGGTAGTCAGTATGATCACTGAGTTCTTAATTAAGAATTCAACAGGTTTTATGCTTTTTTATAAATTAAAGGACAGGACTGTGTTAAACATATATCTGTGGCATGCACTGAAGAAACGTGAAGCTAGTTATCAGCTTAACTTACAAAACTGACTCATAAAATAGTGTCCATTCTTACTCTTTGATAGTATAAATCGGTTTCACCATGAAGATACTTGAAACGTAAGTACTCTGTTAGTGACAGTCACAGGTTAACAGAACCTGTTCTGCTGCAGAGAGAAGACCCCCAATTTCTAATCAATGAGAAAGATACCTCCAGAATCCGCTCATCATCAATCTCATTGAAGACTGTGCCATTGATCTGGTTGGGCTTTAGTGCAACCCAGTTAAAAACTGGCATTCTGAACTTTGTCTTGATAGGCTTCTTAATTTTCACAGCTAAAGATGTCAAAGAGAAAGAGATTAAGATCCCTCCTAAACCTCGTAACCCTCAGGAGCATTCAGACAACAGTCTTTGCAGATGACACTTTAACACTGGAGGAAGGATGGCAAGAGGCACCCATATGTTTCTAGAGAGGGAAACAGTGCATACAGCCTAAGCCAGAGCCATCTGAGATCCTCAACTGCTTGGCTGACACAACATTGTGTTTAAAGCTGTCTAAGGGCTTAGGAAAATTTTTTTTCTTTTTGCCTTTTTTTTTTTTAAATCAGTAAACTGGATTGCTGCTTTTATAGTTAAAATATTAGAACAATGCTTAAGACAAAGCTGTTACTAGACAGCAGAGAATGCAAATGCTGTCTTATGTTGACATCCTAAATTCTTGCTCCTAGAGTACGTATTTATAAACAAGCCTTAAAAATGACCAGAAACTTCAGATAGTGTCTGCATAAGCCACCAGGAATTTGATATCCTGGGAGGGGGGGGGGGAAGAGAAGGGGCAGCAGGTGACTTTCAGCTACAACAATACATTTCTGTGGTGACTTTGACAATGGAGATTACACTGGCTGCTGAGTTTTTTCAAACAGACTAGGAGCCATGAGTGGCCTAAATCTGAAAATGTTTATGAGGACAGAAGGGGTACTCAGAAATCAAGAAAATATACTGCTCCTCAGGACTGGCTGCAGTTCTTTTTTTACCATTTTTAAAATGAGGCTCTGCCCAGGAGGTATCAGCGAGCCGATTAAAACCACTGAAATAGGACAGGATCTATCTTTTACGAGCTAAGTGTAGTACCAGCTCCTCTCATTTTGAGGAAACAAGCTAACCGGCTTAAAATTCTATTTATTAATTATATGTCATAAAGAATTTCCCCAGACCACATTGCTACGTACATTTGCCTTCATCAGTCTGTCCAGAGTAGGCCACCATGCTATTTGGGAACTTTCCCACTAGACACTGTTAGCAAGGGAGGGAGGGAGAATGTCAGCACTCCAGTCCAGAGCCAAACAACGTACACTTGAGCCTTACCAGCCCATGTGCCTGCTTGCCTCCCTCAGCAGGCATTTATTGAAAGGGTCATAGATAGTGCCTCTCATTCCTCCAGAGTTACGAAGGCCATAGAAAGAGCAGGAATGTTGTAGAATAAGTCCACACAAAAGCATGCAGGAACACAGAGACACAGCTTTTGCCAAACCAGGCCTTTCTACCACCAAAAGTGGCAGCCTCATCCCTGCTTTTTCCTTAATCCCTCATCACACGTTATTTTTGTCTACACTATCCAGGAGAACCAGCGTCCCCTGAGAGACAAAGGAACAGACTTTCCTCTTAGTCTGGCATTTCAGCAATGTGGGATGTGCAGGGGAGACGCTAAACAGGGTCTTTTCAAGCTTAGTGGGAAACTTTTTCTGACTTTGACTGGACATGGGAATGGTGAAGATCAGGAGCAGTGAACAGGTGACTATGACATATACTTTGTCCCAGGGCTCAGGCTAACAAAAGCAGTTCTACACAGCAAGCCACCAACTGTGAGAAAGGCCAGGGAAAGGGGACCAGCAAATTTTCCTTGCTATCCCTTTTTCCTCAGAATAAGTCTAAAGTCCTTTTATAGTTAAAGCCTTAGATCCAACTATGAAAATTAAGTGAAAAGAAAGGATAATTCCTTTCCTCAGAGATAAAGGAGTATGTATGGCCTGTGAATCTTGGATGCTATCAAAAGGGTGATCATTTCTTCCTCAGGCTCAACTAAAACATGTGGGCAAACCTGGAGTCACAGTCAGCCAATTCCCAGATTCCCCCTGGCAGACACAATGTCAAAATGCAATGGATCAAAGTAAGATGGGGTGAAAAGATGTCAAGGCACAGTGTGACCAACAGGAACACATGGCAAATACTCAACACACATGGTGAGAAGCAACCTACAGAAAAGCTTGATTGGCCCATCTTTTGTGGAAGCAGAAAGAACAGAGAAAATACAAAAAAAAAAAAATTAGATATGGTTAGAGTCAAGTGGCTCAGTGGTACACGCACTCTTAGCATCGAATTTCATGCTTCTTGGACACATTTCACAATGCGTTACAGAGCCAAAATTTCATTTCCATTCTAGCCTGCCTTGAAGACTCACTTATTATTTTTTTTTAAAATAATCATTTTTGTAAGAGACAAATAAAAACTTAGTTCATTTTAGCAGTCCCAAACAGTCATACTGAACTGTGCTAGCTATTTTAAAGTGCGTGAATGATTTCTTAATAAAAAATACTCAGCCATGGTCTAAAAGATCATTGAGAGGGCCCAGTAACCTATCATATGTGAACTCCCCCAGGAAAGGGGGCTGCATTTATTCCACCATAGTTTTGAGGAATGAGGCCTCACACTTCATTTATTTCCCACTACTAATATTCTTTATAAAATGCAAAGAAAACTCTCAATTGGACATAAACTATGGGAACCTCCTCCTGGTCCCCTGTTGTGACCACCAAGAATACTCTTGCTTATCACCCATTCTAGAGATAAAAGACCCTGTCACTTGTGGACCTAGAGGCTCAGTGACATCATAGGTTTCTGACTTCTCGAGAGCCCTGGGCTCATCAGCTCAGTTCTGTCTCTTGGTTCTACTGGGACATCTGATTCTGTCTGGCCTCTTTGTTCCAGAGAGAAAGAGTTAAAGAACACACTGGTGAAATATCTCACAAACTTGGCTTCACTAAGTACTGAAAGCCAAATGAAGGATGAGTAATACAGCCATCAAAGGCCTTGTAGAAAATGCCTGATGTCAAGCTATCAGAGACTCAGAAGGATCTTATAAACCTTATATTTTCTAAGACAAGATGTCTCTTGTACTTGTTTAAATGGACAATTACGGAAAGGCAGAAAGTGTTTCTTCAAGCCCACTTACAGTCCTCTGCATTGTGTAAGGCATAATGGGGACAATTTCCAACTGTGGCAATCCTGAAGGCAATAGTGGTTATTAGCTGAGCACAGAGCTCTACACCTTAAACTTTAGGCAGTGAAAAGATCCAAATTTTTTTTTAATTAAAGAGTGGCAAGGGCCTAAGCAAAAAAGTTAAAAAAAAAAAAAAAATCAACCAAGCAAAACACATCCTTCAGAAGGAGGCTCTGGACCTGCCTGCACACATCACCCTCTGGTTCTGTCACCTGCTGCGACAGCTCCGAGTTCTTGTTAGAGCTCAGGTGAATGGAAGCGGATGCTTAACACACATTAGCTTTTGCCAGAAAGAAAGGAAGCAGTTCCAAATGAGACATCACAGCAGACACATCTCACATGAGTGCTCCTCAGGGGCTGCAAGGAAAGCCTAATCAGGGGACCCAGGTGCACAAGACAATTATGGGTTTCCACACTCGTTCACCAACAACAGCCTAGGGATGGAACAGATTCCCACGGCTGTTTATGAGCTTTGTTTATTTGCATTCCACAATCCAACAGTTCCATGATGATTCTCCAATTTTTCTCTTCAGAAGCAATAAAAGTTCTAGAAGAAAATGGTAGATGGAGAAGACCTTGAAGGGTAGAAATAAGCCACCAATTTAAAATGAACATCACTTTGAACAGACATCTTGTTTGTGTCCTTGACAATTTCATAGACATCAAGGTAGAAGAAAATCACAGACCTGAGGTGGGTAAATTTCTTTTAGGTAGCTTTCAGGTGTCCTAAAGGGCTCTAATCACTAGGATGAATAGGCCTAATGACTGGCTGTAAAGCTGGTAAAGCTCCATCTTTGAGAGGATGGAGACCAGGAAATATTTAGAGTGAAGATGGTTAATTTAAACTTAGAGACAACAGCTCCAAAAACCATTATAGCCTTGAAGTGGAGGCTATTAGAATGGCAGCTCATAGTGGATAAGAGAATTTATGAATGGACTAGAGTGGACAAGGAAGCAGAATATCACAGGTATAGCAACCTCTCAGCAATTCCTAGTGCCCAGGAAATACTCCAGGACTGGGAGATGGCTCAGTATCACAGAAAAAGAGGAAAAAGTCATTTCCAAGAGTCAAAAATAAGAACTCCTATTTCAAGACATTAGAACAACTCTCTTCTCCTTTGCCCGTCTCCCTTTCATTTCTGGTGAGGTAGGGTGTTGCACTCTATCTCCCTGTCAGGAGGAGAACAACATGAATTATTTGGAAGTCTCTGAAAGCATGAAGATATTGCTGTTGGTGGCACTTTCCCACAAAGCTTAAAGCTACCCTAGGAAATTACAATGTCCTCAAATACTCTCAAAAGACATGGCTGGAAGCCTGTATCAGGCAGTTACATATAAAGATATTTTCCCCTGTTATAGATGACATTGCAAATATCTGTAAATAACAAAACAAAACAGAAATACTCAATGCCTGTGCCTAAACTCAAGTTTGATCACTACAGGTGTCCAGAGAGGATTTGCTGAACTCACAAAAATGTGATCAGTAAGAAGAAAGCTTGTCTTTCTTCCTATCTCCAGGTGGGGCTGTGGAAGATGGGAAGATGAGGTCAGAGATGAGAGCCTCAGGCTAGGGTAATGTGACAAAAGCTACTCAGGAGAACAATTCATCCCATTTACCATGAGTTCCCCTTTACTGGCTACATGAGCACAAATGTTCTCATACGAGGAGGAGGTATATGTTGTTGCAAAAGACCTGGTCTTTGAAGAGTGGCTTTAGCTCTGGAGAGAGAGAAATGAGTATTTCTTACACAAGAGTCTCGTTTTGCATTCTGTGCTCACCTGCTAATCCTGAGTTGAAAACCACAGTGGGTGAAGATGTCCCGGGCAGTGGGGGTGCAGAGGGAGGAGGGGGGGGTGGTAGAGGTGGAGCTGGCACTGTCTCAGCTGCAGGACCTGGGAGAGGAGGTGGCGGAGGTGGGGGAGGAGGAGGGGGTGGAGGTGGGGGAGGTGGAGGTGGTGGCATTGGTGTTACTGGGCCATTTTGCACTAGAGGAAAGAAAAATAAATTGACTGAAAATAGAAGACAGAAAAATGTCATGTACATACAAACTATATGAAAACAAAATATTTAAAAGGGCAGAAGAATACTTTTTAAGACCATAAAATTTCCTTAATGACATATGGAAAAAATAACGTAATATTAGTGACATAAAGATTCATAACCTTAATCTCAAAATTTAAATCGTTCTTAAAATAAGTAAAACAACAAGTCAACAAAAGCAGGCAAAGTACACAAATAGACAACTGGTAAAAGATGACATACAACTATTGTCATACCCCCCTGGTTTCCCTACCGAGGCTTCTTACCTGCTTCAGGTGTGTCTGATGGTGGAGGTAGTGGTGGGGGAGGAGGTGGCAAGGGTCCTGAGGAGGCAGCCCCTGTAACTGGTCCCACGTAGTTACCCGCTACTACTTCTGACCCCACGGATAATGTGCCAGAAGCCATAACTGGCAATATGGCAATGTCCCCATCTCCTTTCTTCTGAATTTTAATGGTTCCTTGTTTCTCCAGTTCATGTATCTTTTTTTCCAGGGTAGACTGCCTTTGAATGGCTTCTTCTTTTTCTTTGACCATTTTTCTTAATGTGTGGACTTGGGTATTTGCATCTTTGTAGATTTCCTGCAAAAGACAATAATCAAGAATTTGTCCTCGCATAACATTCATACTCGTGACCATCAGCTTAGCAAACTGAGAAAAAGAGAGTGACTGAAAAAAGAACAAAATGACACTCATATAAATGAGAAATCTATGGAACTTGCCAGAATCCATACACCCCAGTGATTATCAATTACTGTATGTAGTATATATTCTAGCAATTATTATTGTTAGCAAAGTTCTTCCCATTTAATAAACATAGCAAACTCAATTTTCCCTGCAAGAGGAAAGGAACAGAGCAGAGAACACTTTTATTCCCAAAAGCTGGCTTTGAAATATCTGTGGGTGTTCTGGTGGGGCAGCATGTTTTTTTTTTTTAATCCTTATTTTAAAATTCATTTGTAACTCCTAGGTACATGTAACAATTTACAATAGACAAAAGGGTCTTAAATCAGACTTGGATAGAAGTCAGACTAGGATTAAAAATCTGCAAAGCATGGAATAATCTATTCAGGAGTAACCAGGGGCTGACTGTTCTTGAATGGATTCCTCTGGTCTCATAATGTCCCTTTGACCATGCTTACAGCAGCGATTTTTGTAGCATTTTCCCTATGATAATGCAACTAACAAAACAGGCCAGAGCTTCTCTCCGCTAATTACTTATTTCTGTCCAGGTTTTTAGCAGAAAACAAAGAAGTTACAATTTTTAATTCAAAGGCTGTTCTGGTTCCTTTTATTAGGGGCCCATAGAGTTTCTGGTAAAAGGAGTTTTATGGAACTGAACTTGCTTGCTGGGTCTTGCACATGTGATCTTTTACCACAAATCTCCAGGAGGCAGGGAAACACTCTTCACACCCTGTCTATTATTAATAATCTAAGCGTCTGAACTTCAATTGAGTCCATATGCTACAACTGTGTCTCAATGATGTGCCAGAAAATAAATTTCCTAGAGTTAACTATAGGACATGACAGAATATCAAGCAACACAGGCAAACACGATAATATCACATACAATGTGCCATTGCACTAGCAGTAGTGTAAAGGCAAGCCATTTGTCTGAAAGTCTTCCAGGCATTTGGTGTTTTAATGTCCTGCACAGGTCCAAGCACAGGGATGGCACTCCATAAATACCTGACATGTAAAGCCAAATAGCACAAGGCCAAGTAAAATAGCTGGGATTATCTAATCATAAAATGGGTTGGTTTTGATTTGTCTTTCTCTCCTCTCTCTGTCTCTTCTCTCTCTCTCCCTCCCTCCCCCTCCACCTTTTCTTGGTAAATGCTGCATTAGGTCTACCCAGTTGTGATTTCACTGTTTCCATAGTAACCACTAAATCTGCTTTTGAATAGAAGCAAAGCAAACAAACACAATGAAGCACAAGTCCTAATAAAAGTAAGTAAGAGGCATGAATTAAATCCATGCTGCATTTTTATTTCCCACTAAGGGGTGACCCACGGATTCAGCCCAGCCTCCAACACATGGGGAAACATCACTGCTCCCCAAACTTGTGATAAGGAAATACTGACTGTCCAGCATTTGACTGTGCACAAGCGTATATATCCCGACTGTGCGTACTTTTCATGTGAGTATCACCTCTGAAATGGTTCCAGAGGCTCCCATAAATATGCTGCATGAACACATTCCTCTGAAATGAGCACGCTCAACTAGCCTAGAGCCAGAGCGCATTCCCTGCCGTGCCCATCTGGGTGGCTGTCTGGCTGTCGTTGTCGTACTTACTCGGACAACGTCCAGCTCCTTGTTCCTCTGCATGAGCTGCTTTTCCAGTTCCACAATCTTGGACATGGCTTCATTCTCCGTATCCTGCAGTTTTTCAGATAACTATAAAATTTTGAAAAGGAAGCTGTGTCACAACACAGAAGCATTCCTCAGAAAGTATAGCTCCAAGACCCTGAGGGGCCTGGCAGGGGCTTACATGTGTCTCCCAAGTTGCTTTCTGCAAATGCTAATATTTATAATATGGTTCATAATACATATTTGTTTCAATCAGGAATTAATAATTTATATATGATTCTTAATAAAACTCATACATCAGCTCCCTAGTGTTTCAACACACACAGGGTGTCTCCCTCCATTCCTTCTGGATAGCAAGGTTAGAGAATAAACAGTAAAGTAAAGAAGAGGGGAGGGCTGCCCAACCCCCTGCCACTCTGCAAAGACAGGACCATCAGGCAAAAAATTGGGGGAATTTTTTTTTTTTTGGTGGTACCCATTATTGAACTCACAGGCTCACACTTGCTAGGCAAGCACTCTAGCACTTGAGCCATGCCCCCAGTCCTTTTGCTTTTTAGTTTGTTTTGCAGATAGGGTCTTGTGATTTTGTTCAGTCTGGCCTCTGACTGTGGTCCCCCTATTTTCACCACTCAACTAGCTGAGATTTCCAGGCATGTACCACTATGCCCCACTTGTTCTTTGAAATAAGAGTCTCACTACCTTTTGCTGGGCTAGCCTCAAACCATGATCATGCTATCTCTACCTCCACAGTATCTAGGATTACAGCTTGTTCTAAAAATTATTGATGCAGAAAACTTGGTTCTGTCATTCTAGGTACCAGATTGGGAAAAAAAAAAAAAAAGTACTATCACTCACTCATTTCAACCCACACTACTCAAATAATTAAAGTTATTTGTAGGTGCAGTTCATATAAAGGTGGCTAACTGCAAACGTGGATATAAGTACGATCATGCAATGCTGGCTGAGGCATCAAGACAGAGACAAGTTGAGCCATGTGTTAAGTAGCTACTTTTCACATAAGAACGTACAATTAAATGATTTGTGATTTTTTTACATGTAACTGAAAATGATCACAAGTAAAGGCAACCAGAGAGGCAAGGTCAGGCAAAAGAGTGGAGATTTACAGGTTCATATCACAATACAAATCTTTTAAGGGGAAAAGTATTGGACCTGTGAATTCTCTTCCTAAGCAGATGCCTGGTCAGTCACTGTAGTGCTTATGAAGGAAGGGTTCTTAGCTTACACCTTGTTTTAACCCTAAGCCATGGAGGGCCCTATTTTCACAATGATGTTAAGAGATAAATGGAATTAAGCACATGCTGTACTCTAAAAGAATGTGTGGGGAAAAAGAAACTGAGTCCTCAAAGATGAAAATAATATTTTTCCACATAGAGGCAACTCATTTTACAATCAAGTGAAGTGCCAATCAATCCATTGTAAGAATTTGGTCCTCACAATGGTGGGGTTTTTGAGAAGTATTTTTCTGCCCATTCTTGCAATACTGAAATATTTGTTTAATGAGTGAATAAATGAACAACCTCTGAAGACTGTTAGATTCACATTTGACTTGATCTGCAACAAGGAGTATCACTTACAGAAAATCAGAGCAGGATGCAGTGGCTCACACCTATAATCCTAGTTACTCAAGAGGTTGAGATTGGGAGAGTCATGGTTTAAGGCCAGCCCAGGAACCATCCCCGCCAAAAAGAAAAATAGTAAGACCCCCATTTCAACCAAGAAACAATGTGGTTGTGGTGGTGTGCACCTATCATCCCACCTACACCAGGTATGTGAATAGAAACATGGTTCAGGCTGGTCTGGGCGTAAACATGACACCCTATTCGAAACTAAAAAAGGCTGGAAGCAATGCTCAAGTGGTAGAGAACATCCCTGAGTTCAAACCACCCAGTACCTCCAAAGAAAAAAAAAGAGTCTGTACCCTACATGTAGGTGACATTATCCTGGGAGAACACCATTATTCAAAGAAGAAGATGTTTGGGACAGCTTGTTAATTTCTGTGGAAATGCCTGCAGTTGAAATGAATCTACTTAGAATTTGAGTAACTGTAACACAGCAATGTTCAAATGCACATCCCAGGGGGACTACCTAATCCCGTGGTGGAACTTCAGCATTTCGAGAAGAAAGTGGCTCTTTAGAAAATACTTCATCTCTGGCCACAGTTCCTTATTCCATTTCCCTCTAACTTTTTAGGTAATATCATCCAACTCTCCTACATCTGTAACCCAGATCACCAGAGCACGCAACTAAGCAAAGTGAACAGGTAAGTGAGGTGAGGCAAAGCAAGGGATTCCACTTTGTTTTAAGCAACCCAACTGCTTTCTTTCAAAGAACCTAGAATGGCTCTGGTAACTTTCTACTCCTGGTAGCAGCTCATTCTTAGACTTTAAGCCCTTTAATTTGTTACCATGAAAGCTAATGTTCATTGTGTTTTGCACCCAGTTGAAAGTAATTTCCCCTTTCTGAGATGTAGTTACATGAGAGATGTTTTCTTCCAGTTCTTCTACCCTCTCCAAGGCTGCATTCTTGGTTTCTGCATCTTCCAGCAGAGCTCCTACATCAAACACATTGTCCAGGTAAGCCTGAATTTGTACTTGCAACTTGTCACTCTCTGTGTGTTTCAGCTTCTAAAAACCAGAATTACAAAGAAAGTGGTGTTAATTTACTTGTTGGATATAGAACACAATAACCCAACAGTCTACATCTTTCTTTGTTCCAAATAGTTGAGCCTTTTCCAAGAGAGTTTAATATGTCATTCTCCTTAACAGAATTATGGAATAACTACCTAAGAGAGTTCAATGAGATTACCTGATGATGAATAGCCCTCCCAAATATATATATTTACACATTTTTCCACAATACTTCCTATTCTAATCTAAAACATTTCGATATAGGTGAAATCAAGCAGAAACATTAAAAGCAGCTTTGAAAGGAAATAGTCACAAGTAGCATAAAACAAAGGGTTGTCTGGACAGTAGAGGAGACTGGAACGGCTGGTATCCTGACTGGGTAGTGATAATGGCTCTGTTTGGGGGGTTAGAGGAACAGAATTAGAAGGGAGGCGGAGTAGAGACCATTATGTTTATACTCAACCTTAGGCTTATTTTAGTACAAATTGCCAAAGCTCACCCTCAATGATGCCTTCCCCAAGGTAGATTCCCCACATTAACAGCTTGGAGCTCCCCCAAATCATAGATCAGAAAGCATTCCCCAGTTTACCGCATCCTAGGCTAGGATCCTCAAGGAACTCAGCCAGCTCTAAGGTGACACTACAGATCAAATAAGTCAGTGGTTCTTCCCTATAAGAACCATAAGTTATGACTTTCTCTGTGGACAGATGAGTGACCAAAATAGTATGTGGCACATAGACGTTTATTGAACAGATCAGTGACTACCTGCAGGTTTCTCTTGTAAACTAATGAAGTAATTATATATTGTATGTTTATAATATTACTCTTCTAACAAACTGTGTCAGAGTCCAGGTGCAACATTAAAGAAATACAGAGTTTTGAAAAAATCTTAAATTTTTAAAAGGAATTTCAGAATTGTTGAAGTCTGAAATTCCACAATTTAGTTTATTCTGAAGACTGTACATTCCATTTTAGCTTAGGACTCAGAACTGACAAAGATTTTTGAATATGGGCAAAAACGAGAGAGGAAAATGGAGAAGAAGCCTGGCATTTTTCACAAGATTAACAATGAATTATAGGTGTTCGCTGATGTGTTACTGTTTGCCATTATAACCCAGAGCCCAAAGCAAGATGTCACAAAACTGAACCCAGCACATCATCAGGAACTGACATACCCAATTTTTGTTCAAACTCTGCTACTCTTAGAGTATATGAGGAAAGAAGAGAGATAAACTTTGATCTCAAAGCAGGAAAAAAACTTTCAATACAATATTCTGACATTAATATCAGTGAGTCTTTAAATAAATAAGAAAATAATTTGAATAACTCTTCCATGAAAGTCTATCATGCCTGTCCTTGAGTACAGTCTTTAGACAACATTCAACCAGTCTAGGAAAGGGTATTCTGGCTGGTCAGGTAAGTATGTCAGGTTGAAAGTAACCAACCCAATGATTATGTCTCCCAATAAAGTGAGGGTACAGTATATGCAATCCCCTGGTTTTATTCCTAACGAAGGTGAGCAGATGAACTCTGGAGATGTCCAAGGGAAGTGCTCTTATCTCCATAGCTAGAAACTGCCTTGAACTTGAGGTCAGCAATTCCTTCCCTATCACTAGTGGTCTTCCAAATTCAACTGGCCCATTCCTGTATAAAAGAGAAAACAAAACCTTCCTCAGAGTCAATGGACAGGGCATATCTAGTATACACATAGCTCCTCAAGCTATGAATTTCAGATAAACTTATGGTTTCCTAACTGAAGAACTTCAGGGAACTGGCTGAGCACTTCTGCAAGGCAGCAAGAACAAGAGAAACTAAACCTCCTTCTCCTAAGAACTGAAAGTGCAACTTCTAAAGACAAAAATACTTTGAGCAGAATTTAACAGCTTCAGGAGGAAGTCTCTAGTGTCTGCTTCCTCATTATTCTTTTATGCTCTAAGCATTACTCAACATTCTACAGCAGTCTTGGCTGGACTTTTCCTGCCCAGATGGGGTCCTCAGAGTAACCAAGAATGCAACTTATGCCACAGCCCAGATGAAGGATGTAATAAGACTTGACCCACACAGAGCTCCAAAGCAGAGAAAAACTGCAGCAGGCTGCAAGAAGTTATCTGATTCCTGTACTAAAAGGCTTCAGGCAAAAGACCACAGAGGTCCCAGAAGGTCTCCAAGAATCAAGCTTCCCTGGCAGATTGCATTGTGTAGACTGGTTCCCTTTAACAAGAATGACAGTAATTGACTGCACAGAGCTTTCAGCATTATTCAGCCACTATGGAAATGTTCCTTTGAGGGTGGGCAACAAATCAATTCTTTATCGACACCAAATGTGACAGCCATACTCACGTCCAAGTATTCATCCAGGCCTAACTTGGTAAATTCATATTGGAGGTGAACTCTGAAGTTCATATCTTCTACTGAATGGACTACAATATTGATAAACTGCATAGAGGCCACCTGAAATGAAATTTCCAAAAGGTTAGATGGGCTCCAAACTTTTTTCTCAGTTTGATTACAAGCACATGCTTTTAATTTCACAAATCTCAGCTCAACTGCTGACGTCCTTTTCTCCCATTTCTCTGAGTCTTTTAAAATATTTTATAATTTTTTAAATTCAAAAAGTCATAAGGTACCACAATAAGACATCACTTTATACCCAGTAGATGGCTTTAACAAAAAAGAAATGCAGTAACAAGTGTTGGCAAGGAGGTAGAGAAAATGAAACTTTCCCCCAATGCTGGTGGGAATGTAAAATGATGCAGCCACTTTGAAAAGGGTGACAGTTCTTCAAAATGTTAAAGACAGTTATATGACTCAGCAATTCCACTCCTAAGCATACAGCTAAGAGAAATAAAAACACACATTCACATAAAAATTGGTATACAAATGCTCATAAAAATGAAAAAGTGCTAAGAACCCACTGCCCATCAACAAAATGTTTAGACAATGAAATATCACGTGACTATAAAGGAGAATGAAGCACTGACACATGTTATAGCATAGATGAACTTGAAAACATCACAGTAAGTAAAAAAAAAAAAAAGCCAGTCCAAAGAGACCACATGTACTATTCCATTCATGTAAAATATGGAGAATAGGCTAAACTGTAGAACTAGAAAATAGATTAGTAGTTGCCTAAGGTGAGAGGGGGTGAATGTGGAGTGACTGCTAATGGGCACAGAGATTCTTTTGCAGGGGGCAGAATGTGCTAATGTAGACTGTGCTGATACTTGCATAACCCTGTACACTTTCAATGGGTAAAGGGATGGTATGTTAGTTGAATTTCAGTAAGTGCCTTAAAAATCATAAAGGTAAAGAATAAACTACATATCTATATTACATATCTTTATTATAAATAAATCTATATAAATATCATGCCAAATATGAATATTATTACAAAGAAGACTTTATTTTTTTAGGAAAATTAAAATCACCTATGACCTTACCACAAGGTAATCACTTCTAAAAATTCACTGTGAGGTCCACACTACCAACAAGAGCTTTGACCCATCACCCAGTTTCCAGTCCATAAAAGCTTTGGATTTAGTGCTTTCTTTCCACAACTGTATCAGTGGCCCTAAGACCTGTCCCAGAGAAAACCACTCCCCACATTGGTAGATAACAGAACAGAGTTCGAAAGATCTACTTTTCTCTTAATAGTGGGTGATATAATTTACAGTGCAAAGTATCTTGCACATGCTCTCCTTCTATGGCTATGATCCAACAGGGGCTCTGGCAAGAAGGCAAAATGACTGATGGGGCACAGATTCATAATTGCTCTAAGAACTATCTTCTCCTCTCTCCTCCAAACCTAACCTCTCCTCTTCCCCTACCCCCAAACTTGAGATCAAACACATTCCCTCATGTATAGAAAGCAAGAACTCTACCACTGAGCTACATCCCTAGCTCAGAAAATAAATTTCTTTTATTTTTTCAAAAATAGTTTTTATTGAGTTAATTACTTTTTGAATATTAACTACATATTGGATATATTTGAGAGGTATATAAACTCCATCCATTACAAGTGAACTCTTGCAATGTACTAAAAAATTATTTCAGGTTCTAGAGTTAAATGAGCTTAAAAAAAAAGTTTCATCAGTTTCTTATTTTCTTTTGTCCACAGTACAGTCTTACACTATATTGGAATAATTTATATGTTCTGAAGAATATGTTGCTTGGGAGGCTGGGCAACCTAATTGCATTCTCAAGGCAGTATATCAAGCCTCATTTTCTGGAGGGAAAATATGGTTGGATTCTGGCATCTTTCCATTTGTCTTCTGAAAACAGGTCTAAATGATTTGTTGAATTTTAGTATATGCCTAAGAGGCAACTATTTATAGGTGACAGGTAAATCCGGCACAGTTCTTGTATACATATAGCCTGTCAGTAAGGTATCTTACTGTACCTGTACCCAGAATAAGTGAACTGACAGGAAATGGGCTCTGATCTATATGTGACTGACACAGGTGTTCTAATGTACTTACTATAATTTCAGCAGACACTTAAATGGCAGTGCAGTCATAAGGGATCATAAATGAGTGTGTAATATAACAGGGAATGGTGTGGACTATGAACAACTAGAGAGGATAGCTCTTTTTGGTGGTATGGGAGACTGAACCCAGGGCTTCACACTTGAGTTCTGCCCCCAGTCCTTTTATTTCTTTTGTTTTTATTTTGCTTTTGAGATAGTCTCACTAATTTTGCCCAGAGGCTTGCCTCAAATTCAAGATTCTCCTACCTTCACCTCCTGAATATCTTAGGAAACAGGCATGCACCACCATGCCTGACTGAAGAGGATATGTTTATAGTAAAGAACAGGGGTTATTTAGCTCTCACAGCTAATATTCTGTAGGAACAGAGCCAAATATTATCAGACATTCTTAATTCTCAAAACAAAGGGCATCTATTTTTATGTAACATATCCAATTTTTTAATAGAAAATCATCCCTGTCCAATGAAATTCACAAGTCTTTTATTGTGGCTTCAGCCTGGGTGGGGCCTCCAGTTTGCAACCTCAGCGCTAACAGAACAAATAAGTTCCTCCTAACAAGACACAGGAAACAAACTGTACATTTGAGCCAAGGCACAGATCTCTTAACATTTTATTACCAGTGCCAGCATTTGCCTGGGCTTCTCAAAAAATCCTAACAAGAATTAAAAAGTCAGTGGAAAAGTAACCCATATTTTCCATACATTTTTCATCTTTTCAAAAATAAATAACATGGCTAACAGAACAGAATTGCTTCTCTGTAAAGAGATTTCATCTTTCTTACTGGTTCTGGAAGGGGCTGAAGGCTAGGATCCATAGAACTTTGTGGACCCCCAAAAAACAATGATTTAGAAAGTTTCAAGGCTTCAGTACTAAAACAATTCAAATTAAAACTTTATTTGGTAACCTAAGCACAGTTTTGGCATCCAAGAACTGAATGAGAAACCTGTTCCAAGGTTCAAAGTGATCTAGGAAAGTCAACCCAGGTAAGGATCCAGAAGTTACCTAGGGCAAATATAGGCCAAGGCCAAAAGACCTAGGTGCAGTCAAAAGCAGTATGTCTCAGGAAACTCTCCATGGTAGATTCTATCTTCGGTCCAGGATTAAGATTTTGATATGGGAATTCAGAAGTGCTAAAACTCACTGTGCTCTTCTTTCCTGAGTACGACATGCTCTTGCATGTGATCTCCTGCTAAGGAGATCTGCAGAGTGACTGTGCTCTCACAGAATTACCAAAGCAGGAAGCAGGTCAAAGGGGAAAAGAAAATCACCACTGCACATTTATTTGGGTGTTATCAATTAATTCAACTTCTACAAAGCAAAGCATTTTAGTCCCTGGATGTACAGCCTAGAGAAGAGCCCTGACTGTGGCCTATCAGAGTCAAAAAGATGAAGATTCCTTCGATTTAAGGATTTTTACGTAGCACTATCGAAGCTAAAGTTGGCAACTGCAGGCACTTACACCGGGCCTCAACTTCTTTTTCCCTACTACATGGCTTCCCTTTGTGTGTGCTATAAACAAACACACTTTTGTCCTTTAGTTACGTGTGCATGAAATGCATAGGAGTGGAATAAATGAAATAGAGGGAAAACAAAGATGAAGAGAGACATTACAGCATAGATCTATAGTATATTAAACTCAATTTCCAGTCTCGTGCATGTTTGTGTGTGGATTTAGGGAAAAAGTACTGAAATGGTTTGCTTTATTGAATGTAGACTGAAACGGTTTGCTTTATTGAATGTAGACTAAAATAACTCACCATAAAATCTATGTTATTGTCTTCATTCCTGAAATGTTCCATCAACTTCTCAAAGCGCTGTTTTTCTCCACAAACCTGAAACATACGTTTTCATTGCACATGTGACAGTGCAAACATAAGCATTCCAAAATTAGATACAGAAATTTCAGCATTAATAATTATTTCCAGAATATCTTTATTTCCCCCTCTCTCATATACTGCTTACTTCTCTTCAAAGCTAGTTAACTCACACATAGCCATGTGAACCATAAATTTACCAAAAGCTCATCCCTAGTTTCTTTTGCATGTTCCCCTGATATTTTGAAGCTCATAACAAATGTGTTTTTCTTTCATTGGTTGTCTTTGCAGATCCACCATTTTTTTAAAATCATGTATTCAAAATCCAAGAACGTAGTTCCTGGTTAAAAAAAAAGTCTGTAGTATTTTTTTTCTTAACTAAGTACTTTAAAACACACACTCTAAAAAGATTTGAATGAGTATTTGACCACCTCGAAAGGCAGATTCAAAATGTTCAAATACCTGAGTCAGATGATTTTAGTGCATTATAACACAGAAGAAAAGTAAACACTTTGGGAAGCTGTATTAGCCCATTTAAAGTGAGTATAAAAATTTGTAGTAGTTTGTGAAGTAGCATCTCAGAGGCCTGAAACATACACTGAGCTCAAATTAATATTTCATTGAATAGGTGAAATAAATAAAGTGTTGGAAATTCTAGTACCCCAACGTGTTCTCATATACATAGAATTTAAATACATGGAGTAAAATCAAAGAAAGATTTGTTCCAAATAAGTCTCTGGAGACTTAATCCCAAAATTAAAGGATGAACTTCACTTTGTCATTGTCCTTGGCTACTTTTTTTTGGAGCAAAGTTTTGGGAATAGAGCCAATGATTTCTTCATTCTGCCTTCAGAAAATATTTACCTTTCAATCACCTATGAACTATATGCTGAATTAGTAGAACACAATTATCTGGGTTAACACTTTATAAATTTTCTGATTTTACTTGTGACTTTAGGGATCCCCAAGCCAACCCTCATGAATTCTCCTACAGTGGGAATGTAGCCATTTAATTCAGTCATGTAAATTTCATGTGAACATTGGTAAAGAGAAAGTCTCACAAAGGCAGGAACTCTGTTTATTCACTGCCATATCTTCAATGTCTAGACCAATGCTTAGCACACTGTAAATTTTCAATATCTG